GAGAACTGAAGGAGATAGAGACACGAAAAACCCTTCAAAAAAATCAATGAATCCAGGAGCTGGATTTTTGAAAAGATAAAAAATATAGACCACTAGCCAGACTAATACAGAAAAAAAAAAAAAGAGAAGAATCAAATAGATGCAATAAAAACTGATAAAGGGGATATCACTGCTGATCCCACAGAAATACAAACTACTATCAGAGAATATTATAAACACTGCTATGCAAATAAACTAGAAAATCCAGAAGAAATGGGTACGTTCCTCAAAGCATACACCCTCCCATGACTAAACCAGGAAGAAGTCGAAACCCTTAAGAGGCCAATAACAAAGTCTGAAATTGAGGTGGCAATTAATAACCTACCAACCATAAAATGTCCAGGACCAGACACATTCACAGCCAGATTCTACCAGAGGTACAAAGAAGAGCTGGTACCATTCCTTCTGAAACTATTCCAAACAATAGAAAAGGAGGGACTCCTCCCTAACTCATTTTATGAGGCCAGCATCATCCCAATACCAAAACCTGGCAGAGACACAACAAAAAAAGACAATTTTAGGCCAATATTCCTGATGAACATCGATGCAAAAATCCTCAATAAAGTACTGGGAAACCAAATCCAGCAGCACATGAAAAAGCTTATCCAACACAGTCTAGTCAGCTTCATCCCGGGGTTGCAAGGCTGGTTCAACATAAGCAAATCAATAAACGTAATCCATCACATAAACAGAACCAAAGACAAAACCCACATGATTATCTCAATAGATGCAGAAAAGACCTTCCATAAAATTCAACAGCCCTTCATGCTAAAAACTCTCAATAAACTAGGTATTAATGGAAGATATCTCAAAATAATAAGAGCTATTTATGACAAACCCACAGCCAACGTCATACTGAATGGGCAAAAACTGGAAGCATTCCTGTTGAAAACCGGCACAAGATAAGGATGCCCTCTCTCACCACTTCTATTTAACATAGTATTGGAAGTTCTGGCCAGGGCAATCAGGCAAGAGAAAGAAATAAAGGGTATTCAATTAGGAAAAGAGGAAGTCAAATTGTCCCTGTTTGCAGAGGACATGAATGTATATTTAGAAAACCCCACCATCTCAGTCCAAAATCTCCTTAAGCTGATAAACAACTTCAGCAAAGTGTCAGGATACAAAATCCATGTACAAAAATCACAAGCATTCCTATACACCAATATAACAGATCAACGGAGAGCCAAATCATGAGTAAACTCCAATTCACAATTGCTACAATGAGAATAAAATACCTGGGAAAACAACTTACAATGGATGTGAAGCACCTCTATAAGGATAACTAAAAACCACTGCTCAAGGTAATCAGACAGGACACAAACAAATGTAAAAATATTCCATGCTCATGGCTAGGAAGGATCAATATCATCAAAATGGCCATACTGCCCAAAGTAATTCATAGATTCAATGCTATGCCCATCAAGCTACCATAGACGGTCCTCACAGAATTGGGAAAAACTACTTTCAATTTCATATGGAACCAAAAAAGAGCCCGTATAGCCAAGACAATCCTAAGAAAAAACAACAAAGCTGAAGGCATCACACTACCTAACTTCATACTATACTATAAGGCTGCATTAACCAAAACAGCATGGTACTGCTACCAAAACAGATATATAGACCACTGGAACATAACAGAGGCCTCAGAAATAACTCCACACATATACAACCATCAGATCTTTGACAAAACAAGCAATGGGGAAAGGATTCCCTATTTAATAAATGGTGTTGGGAAAACTGGCTAGCCATATGCAGAAAGCCGAAACTGGATCCCTTCCTTACACATTATGCAAAAATTAACTCAAATGATTTAAAGACTTAAACGTAAGACCTAAAACCATAAAAACCCTAGAAGAAAACCTAGGCAATACCATTTAGGACATAGGTATGGGCAAAGACTTCATGACTAAAACACCAAAAACAATGGTAACAAAAGCCAAAATTAACAAATGAGATCTAATTAAGTTAAAGAGCTTCTGTACAGCAAAAGAAACTATCATCAGAGTGGACAGGCAACATACAGAATGGGAGAAAATTTTTTGTGATCTACCCATCTGACAAAAGGCTCATATCCAGAATCTACAAAGAACTTAAACAAATTTACAAACAAACAAACAAACAAAAAAACCAACTTCATCAAAAAGTGGGCAAAGGATATGAACAGACACTTCTCAAAAGAAGACATTTATGCAGCCAACAAACATATGAAAAAAAGTTGACCATCACTGGTCATTAAAGAAATGCAAATCAAAACCACGATGAGATACCATCTCATGTCAGTTAGAATGGCGATCATTAAAATGTCAGGAAACAACAGATGCTGGAGAGGATGTGGAGAAATAGGAACGCTTGTCCACTGTTAGTTGGAGTGTAAATTAGTTCAATCATTCTGGAAGACAGCGTGGTGATTTGTCAAGGATCTAGAACTAGAAATACCATTTGACCCAGCAATCCCATTACTGGGTATATATCCAAAGGATTATAAATCATTCTATTATAAAGACACATATGCATGTATTTTTATTGCAGCACTATTTCCTACTTTTGCTATCTCTCTTCATTCATGAAGTTTCTTTGGAGATAGACCTAGCTTATCCTCCAGGAAAGTATTTTGCATGAGGCCAGTTACTCAGTACTCTTAAGTTTCTCTAAACTGAAAATAATTTTTAAAGTGCCTGGGTTCCCTAAAATATTAAAAATAAGACCCATTAACCATATGATTAATTATATGATCCGGTGATCCTAATTCTGGGTAAATATCCAAAAAAAAAAAAAAAACAAAAAACAAAAAACAAAACCGAAAGCAAGGTCTCACAGTGATATTTGTACACTCATGTTCATAGCAGCATTATGCACAATAGCCAAAAGGTGAAAGTAACCCAAGTGTTTATCAATGAATAAATGGATAAACAAGATGTGGTATTTACATACAATCTTATTTTTTTGTGTGAGACAGTCTCACTCTGTCACCCAGGCTGGAGTGCAGTGGTGCGATCTCGGCTCACTGCAACCTCTGCCTCCCAGGTTCAAGCAATTATCCTGTCTCAGCCTCCCAAGTAGCTGGGATTACACAGGCACCCACCACCATGTCTGACTAATTTTTTTTTTGTATTTTTAGTACAGATGGGCTTTCACTGTGTTAGCCAGGCTGGTTTCGAACTCCTGATCTCAAGTGAGCCGCCTGCCTCAGCCTCCCAAAGTGTTAGGATTACAGGCATGAGTCACCGCACCCGGCCTTAATGGAATATTATTCAGCTTTAAAAATGTAGGAAATCCTGTCATATGCTACAAAGTGGATGAAACTTGAGGACATTATTCAGTCCCCAAAAGAAAAATACGGTATGACTCCAGTTATATGCAGTGTCTAATGTAATTAAATTCATAGAAAATAGAATGGTGGCTACCCGGGGCCAAAAGGAGAGGAAAGTGGAGAATCGTTCTTTAATGCATACGGAGTTTCAATTTTGCAAAATGAAAAAGTTCTGGAGATCTGTCACACAACAATGTAAATATACTTAACACTACCTAAGTGTACACTTAAAAATGATTAAAATGGTAAATTTTTATATTATCTGGTCTTTACCCCGATTTTTAAAAAAAGTCCCTAGACCTCATGTTTCTTTCTAGCTGCACCTGTTTTGGAAGAACTTTCCATGATCACTAACACCTCTTTTTTATCTCCCACTCCCTCTTCAACCCACTACCATCTGACTTCTGCCCTTGTTCAGGTTGTCAATGACCATTCTACTAAACCTGCTCTTGCTAAGGTTGTCAACCTCCCTATATGTTTATGCTTAGTATACTCAACTGAGAGTACTGGGTTCTGCTCACCACTTATTTCTAGAAGCTCTTACATCCTTTGGTTTCTGTGAGGCTTCGCCTTGTTCTTTGACAGACAACTGACAACTTTTTTCTAAGTCTTTTTTTTTTTTTTTTTTTTTTGCTGCCTTTTTTCCTTCATAAATGCTTGACCTGCTGCTTTTTGTGTCTTTACAGTTCTTTATAGATTTCTTATGAAAGCTCAACTAAACCTGAAGTACCAACTATCAAATTTATCTCCGATCAGATCTCCCTCTGCCTGGTCAATTCTAACTGAATGCCCCATAGGCTCTTCTAAACTTAACTTCTCAAATTAAACTCATCATCCCTCCTCTGTGTTCCCTTGCTCAACGATATTTATCCCCAAATTCTATTCTGAAATCTGGGAGTCATAGTAGAATCCTAATTCTCCTTTATGCTCTACATGAAATTAGTCAAAAAGTTCTATTGATTATAAGCCCCATTAATTCTCAAAATTCATCTCAACTGTCACTGCTTTAGTTTAGATTTTCATCACCCACTGCCTTCAAGCTGGTGTCTCTGTCTCCAATTTCGTCTTCCTCAAATTAATCTTCCATGTTGTGTTACAGAGATCAGAAAAGTTAAGTCTGACCATGAAGCTGGCCTACTTAAAAATCTTCAGTAGCTTACTGTTGCTCTAAGGGTAAACTCTCTACTCCCTAACATTCAGCATACCAAAGGCCCTGTGCTCCCTCGATGACTCCACTCTGGATTCAGCTATACTGTTTTTGTAATTCCCAGCAAGGTGCCATTAATGGCTTTGTTTGTGCTCTTCCCTCTGCCTGGACTGTCTTTCCCTGTCTGCTTGGCTAAGCTCCCTTCATAATTTGGCTTAGGTATCCCCCATTCATGCTCCCACAACATCCGATGCTATGCTGTGAGCACTACTGTGTCCGGTCCCTCACTATATCTAGTTCTTCCAAGGCAGGTACTAAATTCTTCATCCCTGCACTCCGCGCCCTAGCACCATGCCTTTTCGTGAATCACTCCCTGGTTGGGGGTACTGGGGTGTATGTGTATGCACATGTGCGTATATGCGCACTTGAATGGAGAGTGAATTTGAATTTTGGCTGGGCACACGGCGCAGTGAAGACACGAAAGGGGCACTATTTTAACTCAACCTTTTCCCGTGATCACCACCGAAATTACTGATCAATCACCTCAGATCTCTCAAGCAGTCCAGCCTACGCACCAGTACTCCACCTCTGCGCCTGCGCGGGGAGGGTAAGGCGGGGCCAGCAACTTCCTCAGGGGGAGGGAGATTGCACAGTGGAGCCGCCAGTTGAGAACGACTCTGATCCGGCTCAGCTTTCCAATCAGCTGCGGAAGGAGCCACGCTTTCTGGTTTGCAACATGGCAGCCACCAGTGGAACTGATGAACCGGTGAGACGCAGCTCTGGGGTCGGGTGAGTGGGGAGGTCTAGCCAGGTGGAGCCTTTTTTTTTTCTTTTTTGAGACAGGGTGTCACTCAGTCGCCCAGGCTGGAGCGCAGTGGTGGGATCACGGCTCACTGCAGCCTCGACCTCCGGGATTCAGGTCTTCCGCCCACCTCAGCCTCCCGAGGAGCTGGGACTACGGGCCCGTGCCACCACGCCCAGCTAATTTTTTTTTGTATTTTTTGTAGAGACGGGGTTTCGCCATGTCACCCAGGCTGGTCTCAAACTCCTGGACTCAGGCGATCCGCCCGCCTCCAGCCTCCCAAAGTGCTGGGATTACAGGCACGAGCCACCGTGCCCGGCCTTGGGTGGAGCCTTGAACTCTTTTTCCCCCTTTCTAGGTTTCCGGGGAGTTGGTGTCTGTGGCACATGCGCTTTCTCTCCCAGCAGAGTCGTATGGCAACGATGTGAGTATGACTCACCCATAGCTCCCACCCCCTCAGCTAGCCTGGGATCTCTGCAGGACCTGCCGCTAAGTTACAACTTCATGTCCTGATAATCTACCGCAGACCCTCTCCGCTTACACCAGAAACCGCACCTGCGTTCAATTCGTTTTAATCTTAGTACACAAACGCAAGACTAACGCCTGTGAAAGTGGTTCCCCAAGTTGGCCACGCTTTAGAATTACTGGGGAGCTTTTAAACATCCCGCTGCCTAGATTGCTGTTCATACCATCTAAATCAGAATGCCTGGGGAATGAGAGCCAAGAATCAGTATTTTTAAAGGGTCTCTGAGGGATTCCATCGTGCAGCAAAGTTGGACTGGCTTATGTGTGTCTGGTTTAGAAAATTACTGAGAAAGTATATGACATATTTTCCAAAACAAGACAAGGGGATGTGAGAATAGTAAAAACACCCAAATAAGAATGTGATACATATAATGAGTGGGTCAGGCCATAAGATCCAAATAATTTAGCTGAAGGAGAAATCCCTAAGGGGTCAAGGCAGTAGAAGACTTGACTGAGGAAATGGAGCTTTAACTGTATCCTCCAAGTGTTGGTGGACAAAGGACATGGACTGGCAGGTAGGAAAAGTGCATGGTCTAAGGCCGGGAGATAACAAATGCAAATGGCTTTTTCTGGAGTCAGTGAAATAGCTCGGTCTCGTTGGAATGGGAGATTCCAGTGGAACAGGTGGGTGCTTGGTAAGACTTACTGTAACCTTGATCTGTTTCATGTGCTAATTCATTTCTAGGTGTTACAGTATGGGGAATTGGCTGGCAAACAAAAATGATTACGACATGCTTCAATCTTAAAAATTGAAAGTAATTTTCATCTTGATTCTTTGTTCACCCAACAACTCAGTGGAATTGATGGGTGTATTATTTCAGTTTTACAATGATTTAACTCAATCCCGAGAAGGTGATTTGTCTACTGCTTTATTTAGTCTCCCAGCTTTCACTAGCAGCTGGGAAAAGATAGGCAGTGGCTCACTGTGTTCATTACACTGTGTAGGTAGCTTCTTTTGGTTGTCATACGGACAAAAGAATTATTGTCCAAATTTATTACTCCAGTTTTTATCATTTGACAGTAACATCAAGTTTGGTAGCCCTCTTGAGCATTAACTAGACATCCACATACTTCCTTAATTTGTTATTCAGTAGTAGGATGGGGAGATTTATGACCTGGCATTCTTCACTCCTTTGCAGCCTGATATTGAGATGGCTTGGGCCATGAGAGCAATGCAACATGCTGAAGTCTATTACAAGGTGAGTTGTCTGTCTTCATCATTAAGCAGAATTAAACATGTAATTATAGCATATGATGCTCTGCTTATCACTATTCTCAGCAAGTTAAACAGTTGTGTTTTGGAGATAGTTTTTATTAATGTAAGTTCTTACCCACAGACAACAGAGGAGTGAAGGCAAATTTGTTTCTACAATGAGTTCTGCTGCTTTACCCAGTGTTGTAATGCTAACTGACAAGAGGGCGTCTGGCCCATACATAGTAGGCACTTAATAAATGTTTGTTGAATGAACGAGCAATCCATGGAGGGCAATAGCCAGGCAGTACTATGGTTAAATAAGCCAACTGCCAAATTGGTGGAAGGGATTGTAATAATATGTTGGCTTAAACTGTCATGATTTCATCCAGGATGTAGGCTGTCGACACTTCTTGAAGAGATCTTCTGCCCTGAGAACCATAAAGGTTTTCTGGCGGGAATGGGGAAGATAGAAGTATAGTAAATTACAAACTAGCATCTGTATGTTGTCTTACTGTTTGGCAGCTGATTTCATCAGTTGACCCACAGTTCCTGAAACTCACCAAAGTAGATGACCAAATTTACTCTGAGTTCCGGAAAAATTTTGAGGCCCTTAGGATAGATGTATTGGACCCAGAAGAACTCAAGTCAGAATTGGCCAAAGAGGTAAAAATTCTCTTTCTTAAATATTACTTAGCATTTAACCAACAATTTTTGATTGTGAATGTTTTTTTTACATTTAAGCTCTTTTTTTGTTTAAGAAAAATATGTGAAGAACCAGAACTACTTTTCTAGTTTTAATCAACTAAGTTAGGAAATGAATGTTTTTCCAGTTTATGGACTTTTCATGTTGTTGAGTCTATTTTTTTCTCCTTTTTGTCTTGGATATTTTAAATCTCCACCCATCAGCCCTTTCAGAGGAGGATGGATCAGTTTATTTAAGTCATATAGCCAGAAGACTTGGATGGGGAGTGGCAAATAGGGTATAGGAAGGTGTTTTGATTCTCTGGATTTAAGTTCATGTGATTACAGGCCATGGATAACTGGAAAACTTTTGTTTTTCATTGCTTATGTGATTATCCTATACTTTGATAGGATACTAACACTTTTACAGTTAGGAAAAAAATTTTTTCCTTGAGAGTAAACCCTTGGCTAATGAAGAATCTAAAGTTTTTTTTTTTTTTTTTTTTGATATAGGGTCTCACTCTGTTGCCCAGGCCATCTCAGCTCACTACAACCTCCACCTCTCAGGCTCAAGCAGTCCTCCTGCTTCAGCTTCCCTAGTAGGTGGGACTGCAGGTATATGCTACCATGCCCAGCTAATATTTTGTATTTTTTGGTAGAGGCGGAGTTTCACCTTGTTGACCAGGCTGGTCTTAAACTCCTGAGCTCAAGCGATCTGCCTGCCTCGGCCTTTCAAAGTGCTGGGATTATAGGCGCGAGCCACCGCACCCAGCCAAGAATCTACACTTTTAACTTCTAGCAGGCAGTTAGTGATCTTTGTCTTTGGAAAATTGTCACTACTGAATGGACTTCTTTATTAAAATCATTTGTGTTTTAGTGGGGATAGATGACCATTTTGGGCTGAACTGACCAATAACTTCAAAACAAAACAATTTACTTAAGAAATGATATTTTAATTCTGCAGCAAAGGATTTATATATTTTTCAAGTAAAATATTGTTCATCTTGGGAAATACCAGTCTAAAGACACAGTAGGTAGCACAAAAACGCATTGCTAGTTTCACTGTGAAACCAACAATCACCTCATTCCTAGTCTCACTGTGATTATTTTCCTTACTGGGGAAATGGAAGTCCCTCTCCTGGCCTTAGTACATCAACCTCTTGCATTTGTCAGCTAAAGCATTGTATTTGCCTTTATAGAAGTGGAGGCCATTCTGCTTGAAGTTTAATGGGATTGTTGAAGACTTCAACTATGGTACTTTGCTGCGACTAGATTGTTCTCAGGGCTATACTGAGGAAAACACCATCTTTGGTGAGTTTCTTCCCTCTGGAATTGTTTCTCTATAAGGAGACTGAACAGTCTGGTTTTACTGATGAATCAGTGACACGTATAGTTAGGTCACCTTATCTTGTTTCATCTTTAAAGATCTTGTTGCTATTTTTTACGTAACTTGAAGATAGTTAAGTATTTTCAATCTCATTAATATGAGATTGGAATTAAAGGTCTCTGAAGTTTATGACTATACTCGAATGGTTTGCATGTTATTTCAATTTTGTCGGATTTCCAGCATATTTAGGGAGCAGGCCAGGCACAGTGTCTCATGCCTTGTAATCCCAGCACTTTGGGAGGCTGACATGGGCGGGTCACTTGAGCTGAGGATTTTGAGACCAGCCTGGGCAACATAGGGAGATCCCATCTCTAGAAAAACATTTAAAAAATTAGCCAGGTGTAGTTGTAGTGGTGAGTGTTTGTAGTTCCAGCTATTCAGGAGACTGAGGCAGGAGGATTGCTTGAACCAGGGAAATTGAGGCTGCAGTAAGCTGTGATTGTGCCACTGCAGTCCAGCCCTGGTCATCAGAGTGAGACCCTGTCTCAAAAAAAAGAGATTTAGGGAATAAACTGAGAGTAGGATGATAATCAATTCTGTTCATTTTTCAGCCCCCAGGATACAATTCTTTGCCATTGAAATTGCTCGGAATCGGGAAGGCTATAACAAAGCTGTTTATATCAGTGTTCAGGACAAAGAAGGAGAGAAAGGAGTCAACAATGGAGGAGAAAAAAGAGCTGACAATGGAGAAGAAGAGAACACCAAGAATAGAGGGGAGAAAGGAGCTGATAGTGGAGAAGAAAAAAAGGAAGGAATCAACAGAGAAGACAAAACTGACAAAGGAGGAGAAAAAGAGAAAGAAGCTGACAAAGAAATCAACAAAAGTGGTGAAAAAGCTATGTAAGGTATACAGGGAACAGCACTCTAGAAGCTTTGACTTAATTGAGTCTACAAGTGCCACGGTGCTACTTGCATAGACCCCTTTGGTGAAATGTAAATTCATGTACAATTGAAGGATACTCAGGAGGACATCTTTCTAGTCTAACAGTCAGGAACTGCTCTGGTCATTCCCTTGTATGAACTGTTCTAAAGACTATTAGTGGGGTGTTAATTGATTTTTCCTGGTATACTGTTTCTTGGATGACACCACTGGTCAAGTAAGAAATTTGTAAATAAATTTCTTTTGGTTCTTATTATCTATATCTGTGACTGATTTTAAAAAGGTATTTGACACTTGAAATTTTTTTCAAATATATAATCTCATCACCATGTCTTATATATAATAATTTACTCCTGTTTCTTACTGCATCTCACTGTTTCCTGTAGTAAAGTTCTCTAAACTTGTTAAGTTATACCCGGTGTTGGGATTAGAAGTCCTTACATAAGAATTGACTCTTAATCTCTGAGTGACTATAACTCCCTGATTTCTTTGCTATATATGACTAAAGATTTGATAAATATCTGCAACCTGAACCTGTCAGACTAGTGAATGCAGCCCAGTTTATGTTAGAAGAATTAGAAGAGCAAGAGACTGGACATGCTTCAGTATTTGCTTTTCTTTTGGTAGCCAGAATGTTGCCTGAAAGCTAGCAAAAAAAAAAAAAAAAAAAAAAAAAAAAACCGGGGTGGTTCGCTTTTTTTTTTTTTTTTTTTTTCAGACGGAGTCTCACTCCGACTTCCAGGCTGGAGTGCAGTGGCACGATCTCGGCTCACTACAACCTTGGCCTCCTGGGTTCAAGTGATTCTCCTGCCTTAGCCTCCCAAGTAGCTGGGACTACAGGCGCGTGCCACCACACCCAGCTAATTTTTTGTATGTTTAATAGAGACGGGTATTCTGTGAAGAAAGTGGATGATAGCTTGATGGGGATAGCGTTAAATCAAGAAATTACTTTGAGCAGTATGGCCATTTTCACTATATTGATTTTTTTCTCTCCATGAGCATGGAATGTTCTTCCATTTGTTTGTGTCCTCTTTTATTTCACTGAGCAGTGGTTTGTAGTTCTCCTTGAAGAGGTCCTTCACATCCCTTGTAAATTGTATTCCTAGGTATTTTATTCTCTTTGTAGCAATTGTGAATGGTAGTTCACTCATGATTTGTCTGTTTGTCTATTTTTGGTTTATTGGTGATTTTTGCACATAGATTTTGTATCCTGAGACTTTGCTGAAGTTGCTTATCAGCTTAAGGAGATTTTGGGCTGAGATGTTGGGGTTTTCTAAATATACAATCATGTCATCTGCAGACAGAGACAATTTGACTTCCTGTCTTCCTATTTGAAAATGCTTTATTTCTTTCTCTTGGCTGATTGCCCTGACCAGAGCTTCCAATACTACGTTGAATAGGAGTGGTGAGAGAGGGCATCCTGGTCTTGCGCCGATTTCCAAAGGGGATGCCTCCAGCTTTCATCCATTCAGTATGATATTGGCTGTTGGATTATCATAAATAGCTCTTATTATTTTGAGATATGTTCCATTTCCATCAATACCTAGTTTATTGAGAGTTTTTAGCATGAAGGAGTGTTGAATTTTATGGAAGGTCATTTCTGGATCTAATGAGATAATCATGTGTTTTTTGTCATTGGTTCTGTTTATGTGATGGATTATGTTTATTGATTTGCATACATTGAACCAGCCTTGCAACCCCGGGATGAAGCCGACTTGATCGTGGTGGATAAGCTTTTTGATGTGCTGCTGTATTCGGTTTGCCAGTATTTTATTGGGGATTTTCTCATCGATGTTCCTCAGGGATATTGGCCTAAAATTGTCTTTTTTGTTGTGTCTCTGCCAGGCTTTGGTATCAGGATGATGTTGGCCTCATAAAATGAGTTAGGGAGGAGTCCCTCTTTTTCTGTTGTTTGGAATAGTTTCAGAAGGAATGGTACCAGTTCTTCTTGGTACCTCTGGTAGAATCTGGCTGTGAATCTGTCTGGTCCTGGACTTTTTTTGGTTTCTAGGCCATTGATTACTGCCTCAATTTCAGACCTTGCTATTGGTCTATTCAGGGATTCGACTTCTTCCTGGTTTAGACTTGGGAGGGTGTATGTGTCCAGGAATTTATCCATTTCTTCTAGGTTTTCTAGTTTATTTGCATAGAGGTCTTTTTAGTATTCGCTGATGGTAGTTTGTATTCCTGTGGGATCAGTGGTGATATCCCCTTTATAATTTTTTATTGCGTCTATTTGATTCTCTCTCTTTTCTTCTTTATTAGTATGGCTAGCAGTCTATTTTGTTGATCTTTTCAAAAAACCAGCTCCTGGATTCATTGATTGTTTGAAGGGTTTTTTGTTTCTCTGTCACCTTCAGTTCTGCTCTGATCTTAGTTATTTCTTGTCTTTAGTTATCTTTTGAATTTGTTTTATCTTCCTTCTCTAGTTCTTTTAATTGTGATGTTAGGGTGTCGAGTTTAGATCTATCTATCCTGCTTTCTCTTGTGGGCATTTAGTGCTATAAATTTCCCTCTAAATACTGTTTTGGCTGTGTCCCAGAGATTCTGGTATAGTTGTGTCTTTTTTCCCATTAGTTTCAAAGAACATCTTTATTTCTGCCTTCTTTTTGTTATTTTCCCAGTAGGCATTCAAGAGCAAGTTGTTCAGTTTCCATGTAGTTGTGTGGTTTTGAGTGAGTTTCTTAATCCTACCTTCCAATTTGATTGCACCGTGGTCTGAGAGACTGTTTGTTATGATTTTCATTCTTTTGCATTTGCTGAGGAGTTTTTACTTCCAATTATGTGGTCAATTTTAGCATAAGTGTGATGTGGTTCTGAGAAGAATATATTTTCTGTTGATTTGGGGTGCAGAGTTCTGCAGATGTCTGTTAGGTCTGCTTGTTCCAGAACTGAGTTCAAGCCCTGAATATTCTTGTTAATTTTCTGTCTCATTTATCTTTCTAATATTGACAGTGCGGTGTTAAAGTCTACCAGTATTATTCTGTGGGAGTCTAAGTCTTTGTAGGTCTCTGTGAATTTGCTTTGTGAAACTGGGTGCTCCTTATTGGGTGCATATCTATTTAGGATAGCTAGCTCTTTTTGTTGCATTGATCCCTTTACCATTATGTAATACCCTTCTTTGTGTCTTTTAGTCTTTGTTGGTTTAAAATCCGTTTTATCAGAGACTAGCATTGGAACCCCTGCTTATCTTTGCTTTCCATTTGCTTTGTAAATATTTCTTCATCCCTTTATTTTGAGCCTATGTGTGTCCTTGCACGTGAGATGGGTCTCCTGAATTCCGCACACTGATGGGTCTTGACTCTATCCAGTTTGCCAGTCTGTGTCTTTTAATTGGGGCATTTAGCCAGTTTACATTTAAGGTTCATATTTTTAATGTGTGAAATTGATTCTGTCTTTATGATGCTGGCTGGTTATTTTGCCCGTTAGTTGATGCAGTTTCTTCATAGTGTCGATGGCCTTTACAATTTCGTATGTTTTTGCAGTGAGTAGTACCGGTTGATCCTTTCCATGTTTAGTGCTTCCTTCAGGAACTCTTGTAAGGCATGCCTGGTGGTGACAAAATCTCTCAGCACTTGCATGTCTGTAAAGGATTTTTTCTTTTTCACTTATGAAGCTTAGTTTGGCCGGATATGAAATTCTAGGTTGAAAATTCTTTTAAGAATGTTGAGTACTGCCCTCTACTCTCTTCTGGCTTGTAACGTTTCTGCAGAGAGATCCAGTGTTAATCTGATGGGTTTCCCTTCGTGGGTAACCTGACCTTTCTCTCTGGCTGCCCTTAACATTTTTTCCTTCATTTCAACCTTGGTGAACCTGACGATTATGTGTCTTGGAGTTGCTCTTCTCGAGGAGTATCTTAGTGGTGTTCTCTGTATTTCCTGAATTTGATTGTTGGCCTCTCTTGCTCGTTTGGGAAAGTTCTCCTGGATAATATCCTGAAAAGTGTTTTCCAACTTGGTGCCATTTTCCCCATCACTTTCAGGTACACCAATCAATCGTAGGTTTGGTCTTTTCACATAATCCCATATATCTTGGAGTCTTTGTTTACTTCTTTTCATTCATTTTTCTCTCATCTTGTCTTCACACTTTAAATTGATCTTCAATCTCTGATAGCCTTTCTTTTGCTTGATCTATTTGACTATTGATCCTTGTGTATGCTTCACGAAGTTCTCGTGCTGTGTTTTTTAGCTCCATCAGGTCATTTATATTCTTCCCTAAACTGGTTATTCTAGTTAGCAATTCCTCTAAACTTTTTTCAAGATTCTTAGCTTCCTTGCATTGGGTTAGAACATGCTTCTTTAGCTCAGAGGAGTTTATTAATACCCACCCTCGAAAGCCTACTTCTGTCAGTTTGTCAAACTCATTCTCCATCTAGTTTTGTTCCCTTGCTGGGGAGGAGTTGTGATCCTTTGAAGGAGAAGAGGCATTCTGGTTTTTGGAATTTTCAGCCTTTTGTGCTGGTTTTTTCTCCTCTTTGTGCATTTATCTACCTTTGCTGTTTGATGTTGGTGAGCTTTGGATGAGGTTTCTATCTAGACGTCCTTTTTGTTGATGTTGATGCTATTCCTTTCTGTTTTTTAGTTTTCTTTCTAACAGTCAGCCCTCTCTCCTGCAGGTCTGCTGTAGTTTGCTGGAAGTCCACTCCAGACTCTTATCTGCCTGGATATCACCAGCAGAGGCTGCAGAACAGCATAGATTGCTGCCTCTTCCTTCTTCTGGAAGCTTCATCCCAGAGGGCACCCGCCAGATGCCAGCCGGGGCGCTCCTGTATGAAGTGTCCATCAACCCCTGCTGGGAAGTGTCTCCCAGTCAGGACGCAAAGGGATCAGGGACCCACTTGAGGAGGCAGTCTGTTTCTTAGCAGAGCCTGAGCGCTGTGCTGGGAGATCCACTGCTCTCCAGAACTGTCAGGCAGGAACTTTTAAGTCTGCTGAAGCTGCACCCACAGTTGCTCCCTCCCCCAGGTGCTCTGTCCCAGGGAGATGGGAGTTTTATCTATAAGCGCCTTACTGGGGCTGCTGTCTTTCTTTCAGAGATGCCCTGCCCCGAGAGGAGGAATCTAGAGAGGCAGTCTGGTTACAGTGACTTTGCTCAACTTCAGTGGGCTCCACCCAGTTCAAATTTACGGGAGGCTTTGTTTACCCTGTGAAGGGAAAACCACCTATTGAAGCCTCAGTAATGGCAGATGTCCTTCCCCCCACCAAGCTTGAGAGTCCCAAGTCGACTTCAGACTGCTGTGCTGGTGGTGAGAAATCAAGCCAGTGGATCTTAGCTTTCTAGGCTCTGTGGGGGTGGGATCTGCTGAGCTAGACCACTTGGCTGCCTGGCTTCAGTCCCCTTTCCAGGGGAGTGAACGGTTTTATCTC